AAGATCTTCCTGCTGTTCCGTCTCGTCTCGGGGTTCATGAAGCACTGACTCCTTCTCTCTTCGAGAATTAACTGCGTTGGATGATGGTTCGTTCGCTTTTAAGTTCTCTTGTATTCGGTCCAAGTTTTCGTTCATGCGCTTGAGGTATGAATAATATTCCTCCTACATATTCCTGCTTCATTAGCTGTTGCATGATTTCAATTTTTTCTCCGAACACTTGCTTGAAGTCATGCTCCGGGATTAAGCAGGCTCACCTGTTCCATACACAAGCGTTGTAGACAGGCAGACGGATATTGTCACTAAATACGTAAGTACCTATCTACTCCTGTAAGTTCTATAGCTTCTCCATAAATGGAAATATTAGGTACCGGATATCTTAGTGTCGTTTTTTCACCACGAGTTTCGGACCACCAATATTTTAATTCAGAATCCGGGGAGTGAAACAGCATATTCATCGAATGACTCATTAGCACTTTCCCATTTACCAGTATGAGTGGAAACCTCGTACGATTAAAGCTAGGAATTTTTTTGAGTCGAAAAAGAGAGGTAGGTCGGTTTTGACATCATCTGACAAATCATCCCTCTCACTTGCTAAAAAGTTAGGCCTGGACAAAAGAAGTATACAGTTAGTTAGAGTAGGGTCTGCACTGTATGGTGGAAAAGTTAAACTTACCAGCTCAACTGGACAATTTTTCCCGGAGTCTTTTTTGCCACATAGGGTCAAAAACGCACCCTTTTTGAGCACACGTGAGTAGCAGATGAGCACATTTATTAGAATTTCTTGTGCAATCAACTTCGTTAAAGCGTTTGTGCATCATCGATCAGTCACTGCTAAGGTGTCCTACCATTTCAGCACAAGACTGGTGCAGCCCCGTCTCGACTGATTTAACTAGGGCCACCTTTTTGACGACGATTGCGGGCATCACTTCAAAGACTTCACTGTCTTTTGAGAAAACTGTGAAAACCGATGAGCATTTTAAATGGTAGTATTCCCTCCAACAAATGCAATGTTGGTTTGGTGGGCGGAAGTTGTAGCTCTCAGCAAGAATTTTGAAGCATTTGGTACACACATGCGAATTTGCACACTGGACCCAGGAATTTTCAAAAAAAGTATAAAAATTGGGGGAAAGTTAAATTGTGAACCAACAATAGAAAACAATAAGCAACATATTTCGCAGTATTAATGAGCAAAAACTTTCTGAGATATTGATTTTCCATAGTAATCGGCCCCAAAACTTCCTGAACTCAGAAAAGCGACACTAAGATATCCGGTACCTAATAGAATCAAAATAGCCAAGAAATGGTAGAGGGATGTGCAGTTGTCTGTAAATTGAGAAAGGAGCAAAGAAAGCCGTCAATGAAAACCTAAAGAAGGATTTTTTTCTGAAATAAAGTGTGGAGCCAGAGAAGTTATACGAGCTTGCCTACTCCACAGGTCAACTATTATTAATATTATAACTACTATCAGGTCACTGGTTCGATTGATTGGATTTGTGTTGACGGCTCTCTTGTTGTTTCGTGTTTGCCATTTTTTGACGTTTTGACGTTTGACGTGTCCTCACAAGTTTTGTATTGACGGGCATTGGCATTAACATGCTTGTGGCAGACTCGCACACGCTGTTTTTTGTCTGTTCTCAGATGCAGTACCGAGGCATGGTCGCAACATCATCGCCTTCACCACCAATTTCAATTCAGCTCAACAAGCCGTCGGGTAATTTAAGTTAGCTTTCTGTCATGTAAGGCGAACGGATCACCGATATGCAAGTAGGAACAGATCATGAGAACAATCTTTCTGGCCTACAGTCTAGTTTCTCTCTTTGTGTATTGACCTTCAATTGTCCATAGAGTGTAGTTTTTGTACGTAGTTTTTGTACGTTTGTTTCTCTTCGGAAACCGAATCTTCATGCGTGAAACTTTGTGTGCTGTTTCCAGTGATCACAACTGACACATTCATGTCAAGAAAGAATGCAAGAATTTTCCGCGAAGATTCCTTTAATGTCTTTCGGACGCACGGTTTTCTTCACATTTTATAATGTATAAACCTTGTTTATTGTTGCATGAGATAATCCGTAGGAAAAACTCAGCGTCTCCGTTTTTGCCCTCAATTTACACTCGTGTAGCATTAGTACCGTTTTCAGCTTGCGCCTAACCTTCATAGTGAAACAAGCGCACAACGTGCGGAGCAGTAGTCTTCCGAATTTCCGAATTGTGAAAAATGAAACAAAAATTAGGAAATAAATCCAAAGTAAACCGACGGCTATACAATTTCGGATCAGTCTGTTTTGAGCAGTGCACTGTGTCATATAATTTTTGCTGTAAACAGGCTCTGTACAGTTTAGCTGAAAACGCCATTAGTGGAAAAGAATTGCGCACTAATGCACTCTTTGTACAGTCATTAGCACAAGGCAGACTTTTGCTCTGCACCATTCGTATTCCAATCAGATTGCTACCAATAACTCAATTTGTGTCATGCAGGCTTGATCTTGATACGGTTTACTGGATATCGGATCCTAATGTTTTTTCTTGGGCCTCCCACACTTTGCCAGTGTACATTATAATAAATAAATAATAAAGCAGTTTGTTCTAATGATTGAATGGCTAGGGAGATTGGAAAGAATGGCTAGGATATTTAGAGTAGCTCATCTAACACTGCTCGTCGTATTAACAGATTTCTCATTCAAGTTTTCAAGCGCTACTATTCAAGTGCTCTTTGTCCAATAATAGAGGAGGTGATGTGCACAAATATTAGGTATGCTCGGGATTTTTTCTTCATCCGAAGTTGATTCAGAAAGGTTCCTTCGGAAAGTGGGGCGACATCAAAACGTTAAAACTACCACAGGAACTGCAAAGCTCTCATCTTCGGCAGCAGCAGCGCCGTGATCCTTATTCTCAGCCTCAGAAAGGCATAGCTAAATGAAGTGTTCCCCCACCCCACTTCTCACCTAAATTTGTTACAGTGCCAGCATAGGTTCGTGCGACTGAGAACGGGCTTTCAACGGATAGGGATCTTGGGGATCAAAAAAGCAACAAAGTTGTTCATGACCTAGAAGTGTTGCATGAGTCAAATGCTCAGAGATAAAGGCTAGTTAATCGGCCGCTGATCATCTTATGGGTGGCTAGAAGATCGAGCGCCGACATGTAGTGCGTGAAATAGTCCAAATGCAGAGCGCAAATGAGTGGGATTTTGACGACGTATCGGATTCCTCTTCCATGTCTCTGTGGGAACACAAGCACTTTCAAGAGAACTGAGACGGCAGCCCTAGGTAACTTTATCAAAGTGAAGATGATGTCTATTGCTGTGGAGTCTCTAGGGGCCTTTTCTAACTGTGCCCCGAAACTTGCAGAGAGACAAAAACCCCCCCCCCTAGTGACCGCTCTGCCCGGAACTGCCGGCCATTAGTGGAAAATTCTGTTGCAAAAACTGCGCTCAGCCCTGCAAAACCAAGCACATGCTGAAGCTGCGCCCGAGAGCGCAGAGCGCCACAATCCGCGCACCGCAGATGAAAGCCCCGACACACAATGCCGAAACGCTGACCGCTCGCTTACGTCAACAACAACTGAAACCAAGGTTCAAATTTGCTATTGCTTATAGATTACCTATAGAGAACCACAACCACGAGAATTACTACCGAGTTAATAGAACGAAACAAGTCTGCCAGAAACATCTCGCACATTTTCGTAATAAACACCAAAATGATATGCTTTCAGGACAAATTCGAGGAGTTTGACAACCTTGGTTCGGAACGGCTATGCAAGGAAGCTTTGGGATACTGTCTACTGCCCCTCCCAGATGCGCCAGCAAAATGAGGGTAGCGATGTCATAGTTACGAATCGCCAGCAAATGCCGCATTCGAAATTTGCCCGCCAGCGAATCCAAACCTGTGCACAGCGCAGGCAACGATGTACCAGGACTCAATAGTGGCGGCACCCAACGTTCAAAGGAAGCCCGCCACTTTCAAACAGTGTCCACTGTCAAGACCCCGCCACTTTTCAAAAAGCCTCCACTGTCACGTGACACTGTTCGAAAGTGGCGGCTTCCTTCGTTCGTCATTGCGCGCTCCCCGCCCACCATTGAGGTCGCTCGGCTGGATTCGCTGGGTCTTAGTACAGGTAAATCGGTCGATTTGCTGGTGCAATCGCTCGGTTTGTAAATTATGACGTCGACCGTAGAGGAGATATTCGCTTTCCGCTGAACCCCATCTTCCTCGAATCCAGTGAAGCAGTAATTAAATGTGGCGAATGACCACGAATCATTGATGTTCGTTTGTGACTCTGTCGACGTTTGGTTGCCACAATTTGTTGCGGTTTGTTGCCATAATTTGCTATCCCTCCTCGTAAGAGTGCTGCGCTGAAACCATGGCGCCATATTGGCAAAATTGACATATCTTATAGGCAAATCCTCGGGTAATTTTTCGGTTTTCTTTCGTTTCCCAGAAAACGGTGGTCAGCTGATTTTGGGTGTAAAACAACCACTAGACGAAATTCCTTCTTTATAAGGGCTGGTCTTGCGTGCTTACTAGCCAGCAATACTATTGGCATCGGGGGCTCTGGCCTTCTTCAAACGGGCACTTAGAGCATTATTGCCATTAACCCATTTACTCAGATGTTCTATTATGTTATATCCTGTCCGTTTTGTTGATCCCATTAGTGATTATTTCCTTCTAACGCTGTCGTATACGGCGTATGCTAACTAACCAAATAAAAAGCTATGGTCAAAGCCAAATCACCTTCAAAAAGCCGCCACGATTCTGAATGGAGTTAAAAACTGCGCTGCATTTCGAAAGAAGGATTGAATAAATCTGATTGTTTCATCATTTTATGGTCCATTGTTCATTGTTCAGCAGCACAGCAAATTTTAGAGATGTTAAGGCAATCACCTGAGAACGCTTGAGAACTTCGCAGGTTTACTTCGTGTCAAATGCAAAGTTACATCGACCAAATGACAGATACTGTCAGGGAAGCATCAACATAAGCGGTTCAAAAATTCAACGATCAAGCGATTACTTCCAAGACTCAGTAATCATGTTGAAATGAAGTTTTGTGTTTTCGGGCGCATCGCGATCCATATTCTCTCGATGCCTCTGCTCCGCCTAAAAGAATCACGTCATCTAATCGGTTTCGCTTCCCGATTCCGCTGACTAAGGGGTTATGCTTGAAGGAGAAACATGAGCAAAACTCACCTTCCGTGATACTTTGCGGTAGCTATACCACAAGACGGCCGGCAATATGAGAGAGAATTGAGGCAAATGAATGCTGACTGAAATTGATTTGTATGTTTAGTTGTTTTTGTATATGTATTTTTTCGAACTGCCGCTTATTGTTGATTTTTATTGTTGATGAAATTCCGATCAGGACCTAACAGAAGAATCACTCTAAATAAAACTTACTCTCTATAAGAGCGAAAAACAGCGGTCGTGAGAACCTCGCTTTGTTCCAATGCACAAAGCCTCGAAGAAGGTTGTAGCAGAAGCTATTCACACAACTGAGCAGAAGGAACAGCATCAACGTTTTCATTGTTCTGAAAATACACAGATCACTTCAAAAGCTGGGGAATTGCTTTGCCGCCTTATCAAGGAATGTTTAAGTACGCATCGAACAGACATGCTGCCTCACCTAACATTATAACTGAGAGTCGAATCACAGGTGTTGAGTTGCTTTTTTCTTCGAGATCACCGTCACTGAAGTGTACATTACGACTATAGAGCAATTGTCGTTTTTTCGCCTGCAATGAAGATTGCTGAGCAAAAGGAAATTTCTCGATGTTTGGTGGTGCCTATTACGAGGTGGGGAAATGAAAGTCAGTTCACATCTCTGCTCGAACATCGAATCATATCCTAAAAAGAACAACGAACTAACACAATTCTCTCGGAAAATCCAAATTTCTTCTCCGCACATGATCAAAAATCTGGCTTGGCTAAACATTTACTCATTATATTCCCATTCAAAGCAATTTCAGTCAAAAAAGTGTCAATACGAAAAACTGCGCCATGAATTGATTGTTAAAATCTCTTCGCCTCGCCAATATTATAAGTGGGGAACATAGCCACCAGTCTACTCTCGAACGTTGGGAGCTCTGGCCACCACCCACGTTAAACTACCTATCGTGGATTTACCTGTAAACGATAAGAACAGCAGCGTGGGAAGGTCGGCGGTGCATCGATGATCCAACTCTGGCTGCGGCAAGTCGCGGCAAAAATTGGTCGCAGATAATCCTTGGCTATAGACCATTCAAATTATTGGTTCTTCGAAAGTTGCTGTGATCTTCTCCAAGTGACGCCAATATCTTTCGTTCATTGCGAATCCTTTCGAGCCAAAAAGGATACCTCACACCCTATACATTTCCCTATAGACGCACTGTAGCTCAACAGGGTTGCTAGAAGTATGAAATTCTGAAGGCGATGAACTCGGCGAAAGTAGTTTTGTCGTCATGTTGGATTTCGAGGTGGGTGTTTGAGACCGGGCTTCATATCAGAAACTTTCTCGAATTTCCAGCCTTCTCCTGTACTTTCAACATCGAATATCACGTCTTCAGTATCAGACTCCTCTGTAATTATGCGCAAATATAGTCCGGTAGTAATTTGAAATTTCTTTATTCACGTCCGATATCCAACCTCCACCCTCGTCATCTTCAAGGCTGCTGCAAATCCGAGAAAACGCTAATTAAACCATTGCTGCACAGCATGCTTCTGTGAATTCTGGGCGTAAAACTTAGTTGATTTGCGACCGGCTTGCACCTTCTCTTCGGGCGGTGAAAGTGAAATAATAACCATCCGAAATTGTCTTGACAACACATGGGTTAGTAGGCTTAGCGCACATCATATTGTTCAATACAAACCTAACCACACCTTAATTTAGGAAAAAAACCGCTGGAAGTTAAGAGTGAAGTGCAGCCAAGTTCCAGATTTAATTCATCTGCAGCTCTTACAATAGACAACACGAAAGATCGGGAGAGACCTTCCCAAGATAGCAATAGGTAGCAAGAGAAACCCTTTAATCTGACATGGATCATTCTAGTGTCTGATGCCCGGAATTTGCTCTGAGCGGTGCCCAAAATCCGCACCTTCTTAATATTTTAAAAATTTTCAAAAGCACGCGTCACCTTCTCGACAGCTGTTCGAAGCGAACGCAGCAAAGCCGAAGCAAATAATTACACACTATTGACCCATCAAACTTCAAATCGATAATTGCTGCGTGTGACTGCAAGACCTCAGGAAGGAAACGAAACGATCCCAAACGTAAACACGGGTCGAAAGACTTGTGATCAAACAGTAACGTCATCTTCCTTTTAACTGCCATCCCACGGTCCACGACTAACATGATATGGTCCGCCTATGACTGAAACCACTCATGCGAATAATGAACCATCATCTATCCTTATGGGCGGCAAAGCAACTGAGGTTCACACTCTGACATTGCGGTTTACTCTTTATCATGGTGGAGCTTTGTCGTTTTCGTCATTTTTGTCTAAAAAAATTGACACTATCAGTGGATTTGAATCAGGCCTAGGAAGTGACAGGAAGTGATCAGAAAGATTGAGCTTGTGATCATAATGAAAGCCACGGTCTTTACCAGAGGGATTGAAGTTCCCTCTGCTTAGAACATTGGCTTTCATTATGAACACATTAGGTCTAAGTCCAATCTTCACGTGAATGGTTTTATCGATGCTAGGGAGAAGTTCCATTCATTTGCTTGCAAACAAACCACAGCCTCCTAAAAGACCAGGAAGATATGCGGCATACAGGGTGAGCAGAAATCACGGTAGCAAGATAAACTGGTGATAAAAACCAGTGCGATACCCAAGTCCAATATACCCAAGTCAACACCACCTTCGTATTGAGGGTAGATTGTGGAACAAAAAACAGTATCACTCCTTGGACTGTCCGCTTTCTGTTTTGATACACAATCGAATACTTCCTGAGCTTATCCACCAATTGTGTAGGTAGGTGTCGTCGAGTAAGTTCAAGGGTTCCTTATTAGGCCTACTTAGACCTGGTGAGTCTCCACAAACTACATCTAGTTTACAACGGAGTTTTTTTTTCTCATGTACTTCAAAAGATGCTCTACTAACCTGTATCAAAACCAGAATCGGCCCAACTAGGCGATTCTTATCGTAAGTGCTCAGCTTTCGAGTTGCAATGCATCTGTAATCTACAGTATACTGATATGGTTGTAGCGATAAATACACTGCGACGCATAATCTTAGTTCCACCTACAAATTTCCCAAAAACTAGAATTTGGAGATGTTTTTGAAAAGGCTCTACAGACAAATTGTGACACATGCAAATGCGAATCTGAATATTATCACGGAAATCCAGTTTGAGAAAGCAAAAAATTTTTATCCTCATTTTTTCGAAAATACCCGACTTGCCTATGACGCAAAATCATAGTTCCACCACATGTTTCTCTGCTGCATTTTGCTTTTACCCAATCAAATTTTGAAATTATTACCCACTCAAGTCCCTTAGCTTATAGCAAAGGCAAAACCGCTGTCGAACTTAAAAGGAAAAAGCAAAAGAGACGCAGGAGTTGTTGAAGTGTCAGCTCACGCTAGAATTTGTCGGGGTGGCTTCATAACGACCGAGTTTCTCAGATGCTACAGAAAAGTTTGTTAAGTGGAGCGAAGTAAGGACACTTTTTCATCTGTGATATTTTGGAACCTCTGATCATCCTCCTGATCATTTTCTTCTCCATAAATGTGTGCTACGAAATAGAAAACCTATCTGAGAAAGAAAGACGCAAATCAAAAGTCGCAAATGAAAGAATGCCACCGCTTCACTCGAACTGGCTGAGCTTTCAAAGAAAAATGGCTCGTTTTTCTCTCTGATTTCTTCTCACTGAAAGCGTATTTCTTATCCTCCAGACATGGACTGTCACGAGCGTGTTGTAAAACACGTGAAACTGCTTCCATTGAGACACTAACTTTTGAAGAAGTTTTGATTTCCGTACCCGTCTGGATAAAGTCGTATTATTTTCTCACGATACGGCGCTTATCTCGGTCGGATAGTAATCAGGGTTCTTCCCAGAATCATATCCTGTAGCATCCTTGAGAAACTTGTTCGTTATGAAGCCACCCCGACAAATTCTAGCGTGAGCTGACACTTCACAACTTCCTGCGTCTCTTTTGCTAGGGTTTTCCTTTTACGGAAGTTCGACAGCGGTTTTGCCTTTGCTATAAGCTAAGGGACTTGAGTGGGTAATAATTTCAAAATTTGATTGGGTAAAAGCAAAATGCAGCAGAGAAACATGTGGTGGAACTATGATTTTGCGTCATAGGCAAGTCGGGTATTTTCGAAAAAATGAGGATAAAAAATTTTTGCTTTCTCAAACTGGATTTCCGTGATAATATTCAGATTCGCATTTGCATGTGTCACAATTTGTCTGTAGAGCCCTTTTCAAAAACATCTCCAAATTCTAGTTTTTGGGAAATTTGTAGGTGGAACTAAGATTATGCGTCGCAGTGTAGCTTGTTCCAGTCGCAACACCTTTATATGATGCCACCTTCACGCTCACCTCTCGATCGACAACATGAAAGTGCCCGAGAACGCGAGATACATGGTGAAATTGATTGGTGTTCGAACTATTATGCACCGCATGGTACTGAATAGATTACAGTCGCCCGGCGATGCTGCGAGAATGATGGACAGGTCCCAACGTAATGGTTGACTGCTCTGGAAAACAGTATTTGAGCGACATTGTCTGGAGCAGGAACCGTTGTGAAAACAAGTGCTGACACTGTAAAAAATAGTACATCTTCGAGGGAAAGAAGTAGCAGAATACGAATATCGAATATATATATACAATAAATTAATTAGGGGCGTTCTACGCTGAACGGTAAGCAGTGGTACGTTGCGCAGGGCTTACATGCAGGTCAACTGCCACGTTGGACCGATTTTGAAAATTTTCCAACCTCCTCTCCTTCTAGAGGCCTCGATACGACCCCCCCTCAGGGTCAACCCTTCACCACCCTTCGCCTGTCATCGCCATCATGGAGCTCATTCTATAGTATTCGATTCTGAGACCAGTCGACACAGCCCAAACTCCGCCCACACTTTTTCCTCCAAAATTACCGTCGAGCGGGGGGGGGGGGGCTTATTAATACACATTACACACCGTGAAACGGCATTTTAGCGCGCCAACCAACTGCATCATCACTTCCCTTACTGTAACATTAACGCTACCTCGCGAAATACGACCCCCCCTTTTTCCACCCCAAATACGACCCCCCCCACTCCTCGTTGGACTTTGTTCAATTTCTGTGGAGTATATTTAGAGGAAAATGCCAAGGCCATGAGTGCCCATTTTGAATGAGAAATGTTAACAAGTTTTTGAAAGGATATGCTCCTACGTTGCTGTACTTGGTATGTTCGATCTTCCTGGTTCCAACAGGGCCAAAACTACTTTGTCACCATATTCCTGCCCCACCCTGCATGAACACAGTTTTGACTCCAAGCTCTCTCATCTAAACCTCAGCATAGTTCAGCTTTGATTATTTCGCTTTCTATAAAGCATTCCAGTAAACTCGTAGCGCTTCAATGTCGACAGTAGGGCTGCCAGTGTTGCCATGTGCAATTCAGTCACGTGGCGATGTGTTGAACTTTCTCGTGTACTACGGTAATTACTTATGCGTTAAAAGGTGCAAGGGCGCTCCAGCTTTTCACGATACTTTTATTATGAATCGCGATAATATGCAGGAGGCTGGAATGGTTCCCAGTCTTCTTCCAGAGCATTTCAGATGTTTGGGAATCTCAGGGGTCGCAAAATCTTGCGAAGTACCACAACGCACATATGGTGCTCAGAGTATTATGAGTTTTCGGATGAGTAATAATTCATAATTATTAGGTCTCTTGATTGGCAGCAGATATGGAGTCGGTTCAGGGGTATGTCATACATCACATAATTTGTAGACACCTACGTAATAGACTTCTCTTGTTAATACCTATAAGCTATAATTAGCAAATTACAAAGCAAATATATTCAAGTCTTCATCAATTGTGCACCTAATTGGAAAAATATTTCGTACTACTCGTATGAACAATAAAGAAGAAGAAGCATTCAGCGTTGATCAGCCCTGTTTTAGGATGCGCCACGCATTCTACTTCCACTCAGAATCGTAGCAACATTTTGAATGCGACCTGTTTTCTATTGCATGGCTTCGGGTGCCAGCCGATGTACGAGTCAGTGTTTTTTATCCTCCCAGACAAGTCTGGTACCAATTAATCCGACCCCAAGGATGGAAGGCTTGGTTGGCCCGGGCGACTCACGACCCAGGATTTGATCCCGGACCGCTCGCGTGGTAAGCGCGCCACTTGTCACTACACCACTTCCGCCCTTCTCCGCGAAATAATACGTGGTTTGGAAAGTTTTTCCGTTAATCGTTCTTTGAGATACCCCTCGTCATCAAGGCTCACGGTCATACGCCAGATAAAATTAGGTTTTCTCGTCAACATAGCTTTTCCTGAGGTCACCCATCTAATGTCATTGCCGCAAGGGATCCCACAATTAGACAAGGAATTAGGGAACAGGAAGTGTGGGAAACAGGGACTTTTCATTGCTAGCTAAGATTACAGTGTACTGGGTAATGCCTTGAAGGGAAAGAGGAGACGCGCGAGCAGTGATTCCGAAAATTCCAGTTTTCCATGAACAATCTTTACGTCAAACGGCTTATGACTCAATGTAAAGCATACCAGACCACATTGGTGTGGCTATTGCACACGAATGCGAATGTATTGGAGCGAAATGGGCCAGCAAGAAGGAGAAAAAGAAAAAAGAATGTGTCGAAAACGCTCAGGTTGAAGGCTCACTCACTTCCTAATCGGCTGTGCTAACTGGGAATGAGAGACTAAGCGCGGAGAGGAGAGTATGGGGCGAGAGAGCGCTACAGATGAGAGAGCGCCAGACAACAGCCTGATAAGAGAAAAAAGTCTGCAGCTTGCAGCTTACTTTGCAAGGCCCAAGCGCTCTTATCGGTTGGTTTCCGCACGAGAACGCCACATTTGTGATTGTCCTCTAGGGGTCTATACTACAGACCGAAGGAAGCGTTCACACGACTCTGCCTGGGTTGTGCCTTTAAATGCAGAATTTAGTCAGTGCGAATCTGAACGAAAGAATGAGTTTCCGCAGAAACCAAGGGCCACTTCGGTTTCAAAGAAACAGAGCATATGGAATAAGCGCTAAATGCTGTACAGGTTCGATATATGCTTAAGTTAACGGCATAATAAGTCGCAGTTTCTGATGCAACAAACGCACGTGTGAAAATGTTTACGGTTTCCGTAGAACGGCTGAAAACTTTTCCTCAAAGCAATCTGTTGGATCCATGGCCTCCCATCCAAGACTTTCCAACGATTATAGGATCTTAGCGCCACAGCCATTAAACAAAAATTGCACAAAAGAAGCCCGCCACAATAGCTCACGCCAACCACTCCGCTGTTGCCTGTCCCACTTGTCGTAGATCTACTGGTCCACCTTTTTCGGCTTCCTAATTCTCACTACCCCTAGAAGCCCTGCTAGTCTTTACACAGCAATTGGTGTGTTTTCGTTCACCAACACATTTAGTTCAGAGTAATCGAGAGCAGAGTCTCATCAGCGATCTTTCTCATCTTGGTGATCGAATTCGCCACAACCTTTTCAGAACAGTGGTGATAGTACCGTTCAGATCCGATGGGTGATCGTCTTACAGTACCGCTTCCTTGGCTCCATGTACCATTTATGTTCCGAGCTATTTTTGCTGCATTTTGATCGAGATGGTATTTATAGCTGGTGTGATGCGTCCGTTTCTAAGCTGAAAATTCAGCCAAAAATCTAAGCAGCTAAGGTTTAGATACACTATGAAGAAGCGCGTGACATGAACCCCCTGATAATGCAGACAACCTCATTCAAATAATTTGTCGCCAAAATTTATACTGAAGAAGCAGGGTAGCAAGACTGACATTAATTTCCAGACGACCTAATATTATATGCCCATTGTCAAATTCATTGGAGGAAAAGGAGAGCACGGAATTCTTGACGTTCATAATTGAATCAAAAGTGCATACCGAGAACCTAGAGCCCAGGAATTTGTCCCACGAATTGAGCATGAGCCCTTTCTTGCACTCATCACGACGCCCTCGAGATTGACGCGTTCTCTAGTTTCTTCCGTGTACAGAGTGCATCTCTATGGGAATTGCTCGGCTTCTTCAAGGGATCCCGTATCAGCAAGTCAACGTCAAGTGAAAGCGGATTATAAAAAATTTTCGGACGAAATATTCGTTAATTTTCTTCGGCCCTACAAGGTTTTCAGGTGGAACGCTTATTCAATGACCTAACATCTCACCAAATCTTCGCCTTCACAGGCCACGGTCTCACCCCTTTGGTGGAGAAGTCCGCTGCTACACAAGAGCGTTAGTCAGCTGCAACTGATAGTCCCTTTCTATTAGTGCCACCTTATCAAGTTTGCATAGCAGCAAATAACCCCTCCAACTCTCGTAGTGGCAGATACACTGGGGTGCTCCTTTTATGGAACACCTGAGCACCTTGCTGCAACCAAGAATCAGCTGTGGTAACTCAACGTGAGCGAGTATTTCGGCAACCAGCCTTTTTACCTTTAGGGCTCTGAACAACTGTGTTGCAAGTGACCGCTCATGTGCGGCAGCGAGCTTCTCAGCGCAAAGGGTGAACATGTCGGCTCCTGAAGACGATAATTTGATTCAGGGGGCGGAGCGGGCACTCCTTGTTATCTTATCCTTAGTCCTAGAATCCTAGAGAGCACTCCACTGGGCTCTCTAAGGTAAGACTAAAGATAAGATAAATATTCAAAGGAAGCGATCGAACGCTGACTTCCACGTGGATCGCCGAACTCCGCGTTATCAACTGATAAGGTCGGAGATAGATAGTGGTTGGACGAGCATAAGTCTATGGGAAATGCGATATGATTAGGTAAGAGGAAAGGCTGCTTGAAATGAGGTGCACTTTAGCATGAAAAGAACTCGAACGATAACGACAACCGTATCATATCTAGCACGTTGCTACTTGCATCCCCTTCCACGTCTGATGAGGAGGTGTAACGCCGAACCGGAAGTGGGTTTCGGCGCCTTATCACGCCGTTGATAAGGCGCCACTGCCCTGAAGCGTCACCTGTCGTCCCATTGGGTAGGACCCCTACCCAATCCACTATGTCACTTTCCCTATCGTCTCCATAGGGATTTCCGTGACCACTTCCTTTAACAACTCATTTGAAGTGCATTTTTATATGGACCTGTAGATCTCTTACACTTCACAACTATCCTCTCCAATTCGCTGGGTCATCCACCCCGGAGCTCGTCCACCCTTATTGTTAGGGCGAGGAGAAGGGCTAGGAGCTGAGAGTACTGCTAAACTATGTACACCGGTATAGTCAGAAGGGCTCTAAAGATCGATTACGTGTCACGATTGCTGTAGTTCTTATCTCAGGTACTAGAGGTCAAAATGAGTGTCCCCGTCCCCCCTTCCCCCCCAACTGGATTTTCACGTTTACATGCCGATATTGGAATAATAGAGAATTTGGAGGATTTTCGGAATGAGAGCTAAATTTCAAACGAGATTATACATAATTTACTGTTGTACGTGTTATTAGCCGCAAAAACAGCTCGCCAATCATGGCAATTTCTGCTGGTTCATCTGTTTTGCTTCGAGAGCGCATTTTTCGGAAATCTGTTACTAGTCCTGATAGTGGAGCTTA